GTATGCGAGCTCCGCTACTGCGGATGAGATAACACGCGCGCGCGCGCAGCGACACTGATACAGCGATATGTGAAGGAATTTAAACTGACAGTTAGAAAAATAAAATAAGAAAGACTATTTACCTGTTAAGACGGATTAATGTCTTATAAGCACATCTTTTCTCTCTCTTCTTCAAAACTTTTAGTCCTCGCTCACGTCGGAGTGGTTGTTCTCGCGCTGTTTCTGCGTTCCAGTCAGAGATTCAAACCAATTAAAATCTGGTTGTGGAGGCCAAACATTATTATAAGATGACCTGTAAGACTTTACAATAAGGTCCAATCAGTTAAGCAAGGAATGATGTACATGGAGCCGGTTGTTATCGTAGAATAAACCCTGACACAATGAACAACACATTTGTTATGTATTAATCTTTGTTAACTTTAATTAAGAAAAATACAACTATATACAACTAGATCCAATAAATAATATTAACAGATACAGCTTTTGATTTTAATGATGTTTTAGTAAATGTTAAAATTAACTTTAATCCTCATTGTGTTTCAGTCATTTTGATCCAAAGGGGATTTACTTTTTTTCTCCAAAAAATGCTATTTAATGTTAACACATTGAGCTAAAACCATTTTCAACCATGGTTGACACTAAAGATGTATTGTATTGTATTGTTATTGTATTGTAAAACCTATACTGCTTTTTGTGTGGATTTTGCCCACCTTGTTACACTTGTAGGTTCTGGCCTACTAAATAAACGGCCTACAAAGAAGTGCTTAAAAAATTAAATTATGCTATATTACTGCCAAATATTGGATTCAGTTATTTTATCAACTTGCTTTCTTTCAATTAGCACAGGTTTGTATTTCTTTTTGGAACTGATTGATCGTTGGCCTCATTGATCTGAACATACGCACCTCAGTTTTTGAGTGAATATTGCCAAAATAATCTACAAATAATGTTTTTTCACTCAAAAACAGAGGTGTATAAGCACAGATCAATGATGCCTATTATAAGTGCTAAAAAGAAATACAAACCTGTGCTAATTGAAAAAAGTTTGAACAAGACAAAAAGATTGAACCCAGGATTTGGTGAATATAGCGTAATTTACAAGCAAATTTTAAAAGGTCGATCATTTTTGTCCAGGAACAGGATTTTCAGCACAGCAAAAGGGTTAAGAAAAAATAATAAATGCTTTAGAAGTATTTTCTATTGTTAGCTCAATTTAACTAATATGCAGTAAATAAATGGAACCTTATGTAAAGTGTAACCAGATAATAAAATAATTCTCCTTTACAGGCACTTTGTGTATTGCAAGGCTTTGTCTTGGTGGGATACAAAGCACCAGAGGCTAAACAGTACAGACCTACTGTCGCTACACTCCAGCTGTTCTAAAGGTGGCCCTATCCAAATGTATTTTTGGAGAAACGTCTTGACGATACATTGGAGATGCTGTGAGCTCGGGAGGTGGTTGACTCCTGTGGTGAAATGCCTGGAGCGTTTTGAGTCAGTATGTGGTAAGGAGGTGTGGGGAGCAAGGTGCAGTGTGTCGCTAATCGCTGTGTTTTTTGCATCCTGCGGAGATATGTTCACGCGGGGCTACGACACAAAGCCACAATACAGTTTCCAAAGCAACAGTACCAACCACTATAGGAGATGCAGAAGGAAAACTGTTTTCCCAGGTGCCATTGATTGGCTGTCATAATAACAATGCCATTTGTTTATATTTGGCTTGATAGGGACAGAGTAATCCAAGAACTTGCTTGTTTTTGGAAGGAAAATGATCCAAACTCATGTTTTTCCAAATATACTTTGGAATTAAAGTTAATGAATATTCACTATTAAAAAGTAATTATTACTATAAATGTATGGACATGTTTTTAAACTGGAATGACCTCATCGTTTTTATAACGCTGTCGCTGTGGTTTTACCACTATCCTATTAGATTTGGCTTCAGGCCAGAAGGGACACATTGAGCAGCGTCACTCATTCCAGCTTCTAATTGAAATTGTGACAATGAGATAATCAATAGGCAGCAAATGTTTCTTTCTTCAATTAGGGCTATGTCAGAGATGGCGCATTATGGAAACTGATATACACCAGTGCAATTTAGCTTTTTAACATGATACAGCAATCAGACCCTGCTGAAAGATTCTGTAAATACATAAATTTTTGGGCAAAAAGTATCTCCATTAATGATTTTGTCTACAATACTGTTAAAAAAAAATGTTTAAGAAGTCTCTTGCTCACCAAAGCTGCATGTACAGTATTTGATCAAAACATAGTAAAAACAGAAATATAAACCAACTGTTTTTTATTTTGATATATTTAAAAAAAAAATAACATGTATTTCTGTGATGCAAAACTGAATTTTCAGAATCATTACTCCAGTCTTCAGTGTCACACGATCCTTCAGAAATCATTGTAATATGCTTATTTGGTGCTTTTTGTGCTTTTCTTTTCCTTTTTTTTGGGGGGGGGGGGGGCTGTAATATAAACATAAATTCCTTTGAGTTTCTATTTAATGTCCTTAAATTCTAATTCAAATTGCATGCTTGCTACACCTCAATTGATTTTAATTGTCATTCATTTCTTACATTTAATGTTATATATTTTAAAAAATGTGGTGCTAATCATGACAATAAGCGAGTACTTTAATATCTAGTCATTCACAGAACTGCAATGCAGGTTCGAGCTGAATGAACAGAAAGAGTTAACAGGCCAGTGGATATATATTTCCCCTTGAGATGCAACTCGCCTCGAAAAGCTGTTTTTGATGTTATGCTCACCTTTATCTCTTTCACGCTCTTCAGTCATTGCCTTTTGTGGCGTGCTGAGGCCAAATCTGTTGACTGGACCGCTTTCTCAGAGACAACATTGAAAGTGCTTATTAAAATTTCTTCCCTGTCTGTCCGTGGCTGTGAGATAATGGAGATACTGAAATCATTCATTCTGTCCTACTGCATTTGTGACACCGGGTTATCTACCGTTCACTCATACCAGAAGTGTGTTAGCCACAAAGTTTAGGGGGCAAAATTTCCACTGCAGTGTGTAACATCTTTTATTGTTATGTTTTAACTATCTGACTATTTAAAAGTGGTCTTTATTTTCATATTTTTCCACTTAGGTCTACTTAAAACCTGTCAGTTTTCATAAGCATTTTCTTCCCTCTCTTTGAACCTTAAGTCTATTTGTTTTACTTTGTCTTTGCAATATTATATTTTTTAACTATGTGTGTGATCAATGTTTGACTACATTGTCTCTGCATATGAAATGCTTTAGTGCTCACACAACAACCAGTGAATTTGCTGTCAAGTCATATAAAGTTTAACTGCACCATGTTGCAAAAATAGCAGCCTTTACATACTCTATATCATATATGAGAGATTCACAAAACAATACACATAGAAAAGTGAGAAACAAACATTGTTGTGTAAATGTGGGCGATTAGCTATTTAGAGTAAGATTTACAGTACTTCTGTCTCTTGTGCTGTATCGTTTATTTTCCCAAACTTCAAGGCTTAAAATAGACAAAAAAATATGCTATTTGATGTAGGATATACTTCTATTATTCTATAGTATATATATATATAATTCTATATACAAGACTTAAAAATAAGAATTGACAAGTAAGACGCTGAATTAAACATGATTAAAGTAGAAAGACTGAGAGTAATAGTATCTATCTATCTATCGATCTATCTATCTATCTATCTATCTATCTTTCTATCTAGATCTATCGTTCATTTCTCTACCTTTAAGACTTAAACTGTTCACCAAAACTTCCAAACAAGGCATTGTCAAGCCAACATTCAGTTTAAAAAAACAATGCATAAATTTCTGTTAATTTACTGTAATTCATTAGAAAGTGTGCGTATCACAAATAATTACAACAAGACAGTGAATTAAATGTGAAATTTAAAGTAAAAAACATACTCAAAACATATTCCAATAATCTTTTTATTTTATTTTTATTTACAACTTTGAAAAATCATTTTTAGAGTGTGTTGATGCATTCACACCACAATGTTTTGCAGCTTGGTTTCTATAAATGCTCTGTTTCAGATCCAACTTTATTAGTAAGCTTCAATGTATGCTTGTGTATAGAGTAAAAACTCACCTGCAACCACTCTGTGCATGATACGCAGTTCTTCAAATCTGGAGCTTTTTTAATAGCTACTAGCTAGCCTTTTTTGGCGATTGTTAATTGGTAGTTCTTGACAGATAACACTTAAACCTAAAGGTGTAATGTCTGAGGCTGGCCAGCTGTTCAGTGTATAGCATCCAAATAGCAGCACAACAAACTTCAACACATCACCTGAGAGCTTGAGCTTTAAAATAGAGCCAAGTGCACTGCAAGTGCTGTCAGATGTATTCAAGATGGCTCGATCCATGAAGGTTTTTCCCACTTTGTCTGTTTTAACTATTGCCATTTGCAGATTGCATTTCACAAATGGAAATGTCAACAGAAGAGAGTACAAACACTTAAAATGGTATTCCTCCTCAGACATCTTACATAAGAGACTCCATTAGTAAAATTCACTGTTCTCTCAGCCAGGAGAAGAGCTTTGAAATGAAGCTTTATAGAAAGATCAAAAAGAGAAAGTCAATCAGCTTCATATTTGCGGTGGCTGATAGCGGCACAGTTGTTATGACAACACGTTTTAAAAGCTCCATAATGATAGATTAGAGGAAACGTGACTCGGTTTTGCAGAAGGCTTCTGTGATCGACAAGCAGACACGAGCACATCAAAAGCAGTTCTTCGAACTCATTAGCATTTCACATTAATCTGTGTTTGTGGAGCCACGTTCAGTTATCCATAAAACACCATGTGTGTTCATTATTTGTATTCATACGCAGTGTGAAATATGGCTGTTATATGAGCATTTAAGAGGTAGATACCATCATAAATTAAATACTGATAGTTCATTATGAGGAAATCCGTTGAGGCTGAACCGAGACTTACCATATTTAGACAAATCTCATCAAACTTCATTTCATATTGGCACACATAATGCCCCATTAGCATTTGCACAGTTTAAATGTGTCATAACATGATATTTATTGAACTGGAGTTGAAAATGATGTCTAAAAAAAACTAAATTAAAATATATTTTCAGTTATTTCATGATTTGAACTAGACACTAAATTGTTAAACAAATACTTTCTTTTGTGTTGTACAGTTTTACAAAATAACATTTGGATTTGGATGAACAAAAAGTAATATATGAAGAGTTATTTTGCAAAAA